CCCTCACTGACACTCACACAAACAAAAAACACACCTCGCCCCCCCCCCCTCCCCGCTACAAATACTGACCCCTCCCCTCCCTGCACCCATTTGTTGCAAACCCCTCCCCTGCTCACCCTACCAGCCATCACCAAACCCCCGGTGTGTACCACAAACACCGCAACTCGCCTTCCAATCCGGCCGAGCCGGACAATTACTACTAAAACACGGCTCGGCCCGGCCAGCTACGGTTGTCGATTTGCGACGAATGGGTGCGGGGAGGAGGGGGGTGGGAGGGGTGAGGGGTGTTTTTCGTTTGTGTGGGTGTCAGTTTATTGCTTTTACCGATTTCCCCGACAAAGATATGTGTCACTACGGCCTGATTTCAGGGCTCCGGCGGATCAGCGATTTGCGTGGTGAGGCGTCAGCCGCCGCCGTCGAGAGGCGACAGCCAGCGTAAGTGTATTTAATTTACTGGAGGTGGGGGGGAGGGGGGGAGGGCTGGTACGCTGCTAAGATACTTTGATCGGCTTTCAAAACTGTTAATATATATATTTTTTTCTAGTTCTGTGGCTGAGGAGGAGTTGGGCAAAGTGGTTGTTGAAGCATGACGTGGATCTCATATGTCGTGCCCCGCAGCTCGCTGAGAGTGGATGCGGATTCTTCAGCAGAGTCCGCAGCTAGTGACAATGTTTTCGGCACCAGTCTGTTATGGTGAGTTTGAAAAACCGTTGTTGTGTGGTGAATTTGACAACAAACTGTGATGACTGTGGACGAGACATTGATTATGCCCATTCCAGATTCTGAAGTGGACTAACGTGGCTGGACTGGATTGCGCCGACCGATCGCTGCGCCAACGAGTCCGGCACCAAACAGTGGTGTCGTGTGAGCCAGGGAGTGAAGCTTCTGTCAGATCGCACACGTCGCGTACCAATGATATGTTGTAGAAAAATTAAAAATTTATCACGGTCTGTATAACTGTTCTGTTTTTGGATAATAGTTATTGTAATGTGGTTTTATTGTGATTTTTTATTAAGAATTGTTTAAATTTTGCTAAAAAAACAAATTGTATAGTCTTTTTTTTTTTTGTTCTTGTATGGTTGTATAGGGTTTTCTTGTATAGGGTTTTTGCGCTTATGTTTTTTTGTACAGGGATTGTTTATAATTTTGCTGTTTATCCTAGACAAAAATTGTTTTTTGATTTTTCAGGTATCATACTGTAAGTAAAACTTGTTTTTTCTTTTATTATTACTTACACAATATGCGGTCCCCTTAGATCCGCTTCGACTGCCTGAATCTCTCTCTTGTGATCTGAACTTCCGCGCGAGGAAAGCAGCCGTGCAGCAGATTTTGCAGGCTGATACAACATTGCTCCTGGTACACCAGCAACTTCATCTGTGATCCATCCTGGAGGGGTTTTGTCCAAAAATATTTGGATGCGTAACTCTTCCCTCCCCCCCTCCCCTTCTCCCTACAGAGGGTTGTCGATCGTCCACTACTTGGGAAAGCACGTAGTATTACAACTGGAATAGTCTCATCTGGGAGTCCACCCATCCGTACGTATACGATTATTATCTGAGATGATTCTGACGTGCTCCGACAGGTTAGGAGACATGACAGAGGAAGTGGAGCAAGGATGGGACTAAAAAAATGCTGGGATCGCCCCAAGACTATCGAGCGGGCCTTCGCCTGCATTGTTCGGAGTGATGAAATTTTAGGAGAATGTTCCCTGTTCATTTCCAGCCTTAAAATGAGCTCTCGCGCAGCACCAGGATAGATGGAAGTTGAAATTGCAGAAGCAATCCCCCTACCATTTAAATGCTGGAACCGGACAAGAGAGAAAGCTAAAAAATTAGATGCTTCCCTGTTCATATATGAATTTGGGAGAGTTTAAGTTCAGTTGGGTTTCACGTATATTTGAAGCCCACATACCGACATGTCAGATTTGAAATAGGAAATTACGGACATCCTTTCAGTACAGGTATAGGCGGATCCAAGGCGAAGGGAGGGGCGATGGGCCTTTCGCCCTGGCATCAGTGCTACAAAAGTTTGGGTTTAAAGTTAAAACTGAAGGAAACTCTCTTCCGCATCTTCCGTCCCCCCTCCCTCACACCCTGGGAGTCCGTCCTGGGTCCGCCTATGAGTACAGGGAAAGAACTTTGGTCTAGCTTCATTTTTGGGTGTAGAGATGGGAATGAGTATTCTCATTTCCAGCATTCATATTTATCCGATATCTAGATGATCCCATGACCTTGGCTGCTCCTCTGGTCTTCCTTCGGAGCAGTGCAGTGCGGTGCAGTGCAAAACTGTGGTCTCCGGACAAAAAGTTAAATTTTTTGAACGGCCTGTTGTTCATTCAAGCAGCACTACTCGGTTGTTTTATTCTGGCAGTGCAAGCGCATCATCGATGAACTAATCCCGTGTGAATTCTATTAAACCCACTGATCCATTCGATTGAACAAAAAAAAAAGAAAACCCAATAAAAACGCGAACTCATATGTGCACCTCGGACGATGGCGTCTGGTCGACGACGCGGCTTGCCGAGCGGTTCCTCCGAGAATCCGGAACAGCAGCAGCAACAGCAGCAACAGCACTCAGCTTCGGCCGCGGGCGCCACCGGTGGTGCCGTTTGTGGATATCTGGAAGCAGGCAGTAAACCAAGCCGAAATAAACCACCTGGTTGGTCTCTTCCCTCTTGTTATTGTATTCCTCCCGTCCTCCCTGTGTTACCACTCTGCCTACTACTATACTGTAACATTTTTAAATCGAATTTTTAAATTTTTTTTTTTTTGGCTGGGGGGGCTACTACTTCTTTTGTTACATTTTTAAGTCGAATTTTCAAAAAAAATTTTTTTTTTGGATGAGACTACTACTTTTTTTGTTACATTTTTAAATCGAATTTTCAAAAAAAAATTTTTTTTTTTGGATGAGGCTACTACTTTTTTTGTTACATTTCTAAATCGAATTTTTAAGTTTTTTTTTTTCTTTTTGAGGCGTTTTCTTTCAATTTCTGTTGGGTGAGAGTGAGAGCGGTGCAGTTTTGCTGGATTGAAAACTTGTCACAGAGCTAAAAGGAGCTAAAAACCGGTGCTTTTCTCTCTTTTTGATCGCTAGGAACAACGGATGATAGCGCAAAGTATTTGCTCAGCTGTAAAATTAATTGATTTCATACAGTCTCACATGAGAGACGGCTCCCTCCTCTCAGTGCAACGGAATGAATTTGCCTCCAGGTAATTGCCAGTTGTGAAACACCATTTATTAATGCTTCAACCCACTGATGCCCCGAGCTTTTTTTTTAAAGCTTTTCCGGAGACCGTATATTTCTCGAGGACTTTTTTTTCCATTGAGCTATGTGTTGTTTGCAGATACAAAACTCCGACAACAAAAGCTACCTGCATGGCAGCCCATTCTGACGGCAGCAACTGTTATTCCAACGGTTTTTGGAGTTGGCATTGTTTTTCTACCAATCGGAATTGCTTTATATCTAGCCACTGAAGGAGGCCAGCCCTACTTCATACTTTTTTCATTTTATAATATGAGATATTGGAGTGAGAATTCCCGGAGAATTGAAGAGTCGAAAGTGCTTGCCGTTGTTGTTTAAAATAATTTTCCCAGTCCAAATTCTGCAAAGTACCATGAGGAAACATTTCGTGCACCGGTGATCTGTTCTGCAACAAATTTCTCCCGACTGAATGACGAACCGTGTCTCCTCGAGTCCGCTGTTCTTCTGTGCTTCTCCTGGTCTCATGGATTGCTTTAATTGTGCTCCAGATTTTACTGTGCACAAATAACTTGGGCTGTTTCAGTGAAGGAATCAGTGACGGAGTATACCTCATGCACAGCTCCATCGAGGGGACCCTGTAAATTGATAATCCAACTTGACACTGATTATAAGGTTATCATTTTTGTCAGTCAGCTGAGAATTCAATTTAAAACAAACTCATTCATTAATTTGTTTCCAAAAACTGCTGTTTCATTGTTGCGCTCCCTCCCTTGATCCCGGCAACTTCTTCCCTTGCTG